GGGATCCAAAAGTCTTAGGTTCAACTCCCCGCCATGCCCACATGTCGTGGTGTCCTTGAGCAAGACACCCAACCCTAACTGCTCCCCGGGCGCCTCACATCGCCGCACTTGGGTGTGGATGGGTCAAATGCAGAGCACAATTTCATCAATGTGTGGAAACATACACTGATGACCAATAAAGCACCTTTACCTTTACTTAAAAGTTCAAGCCCACCTTTATTAAATGTAACTGTAAAAGGTTAAGCAAAATGCAAAATACAAGATTATTCAAAAGCTTTAAATGCGCATTTAGAGATAGACAATCGTACAACCTGGTTCAAATAACCCGGTGCAACTCAGCTCTTTGCTGGCCAATTGTCGTCTGTCTGGTGAACACTGTTGCCTTTCTTTCCCACTCTTGCTCTCCGTGACCTCCTGACCTCAGCTGCTTCATTTTCCTACACACAGTGGCAGCAATCAAGTCTCCCTTCCCCCTACCTGCATTCCTTCAAGAGGCCCTGTTCACACACTCAGACTCCTAGTATTAAAAACAGTAATCACAATAATAAGTTTTACTATAACTAATTTACTCAAGATTCTACTGAATAAACTGATTACTAATAAGTAAACAAAGCATATAATTGATTATAAAACTGTTTACTTCAACAATCCCACTCTGGACCTCTCATCCAGAGGTCCACACCAGACAAAGCTCTAATCACACAACACTGCGAAATCTTAGCAGTGGGAGGGAGGTATCTGTCAGAAGAGCTTCTCTATTGTCAACTGATGATGCTACCCTCTTGAGCATCTGATGTGTTACAGCTGGATCCTGTTTTTCAATAGCTGCAGAAATTAATCGAAGAGACAAGGATCTCATACAGGGAATGCAACAACAACCACAAGTAACTACAATTGCCACAAAAATAGCTATGGAGGTGAGAACTGAAATAATGATACCTTTCCACGCTCCGAATGTCTTTTCGAACCAGCTGGAAAATGGATTATCCACACCAGAATGACTCTGCATTTCCTCAGAGAGCGTTCTAAGGCCGTTAAGGGCCTTAGTGACTTTACCATCGGGGGCAGTGTTGTTGGGGATGAAACTACAGCAAAGATCTCCAAACATGCTGCCTACACCACCTTTCTCAGTTAGCAACATGTCCAAAGCCATCCTATTTTGCACAGCCATTAATGATGTCGGGGCAAGTTGTTCTGCTAGACCTTCTACAGCATCTCTTGTCAAATTAGCTAATCTCATGACATTAAAATGAACAAAATTTATCCTGTCCACATTTTTGGAAGGGGTCACGGGAAAGAATGACGACTCAATTGGAATGTTCTCAAAACCTGCGGCTATCTGATCAGCTAACTTATGCTCATTCGGGACGCCTCGAGGAATTCCTATGGAGTCAATGTAAGTGGGTGATCCTACTGTGGGGTCTAGGTTAATAGATCTGCGTTGCCTAGGGAAACTAGAGTTATGATGTGATAGTTCAACTCTAGGGCNATGCAGCACTGCTGAGAGCATCATGCACCTTGTACGTGTGTAGCAATTTTAACATTTTGTGTGTCCGTCTGCATTATGCAGGGCTATACCTCTGGTTTGGATTGACCAAACTGCACAAATGACCCCACCCACCTTTAAATCCTTAAAACCAACAGAATCAAACACAGCAGGTTTGCAGCAGTCCCACCAGTCTTCAGCTAGGAGACAAGTACGTGTGACAGTCATCTTCATCCACTCAAACTGTAATATGTTCACAAAGGGTGATTTTGGCTGGGGCCTGTAGTTAGCGGTTAGCATTAGCCTCTTCTATTATTTCTACCCTTTTAGTGTCAGTGAAATATTTTTTTAGTTAGTGCATTAGCAGTTAGCAAAGCTAACTTAGCTGTGTCCACTAATGTGAACTATGTACATGAAATAACAGACAAGTCTGAGTCAACACCTTGTAGGGGATGTTATGGCACTCAACCAGGAATGTTTTCATTTGACTGAAACTGATGTTCAGGACCCTTTTTCATCGCACTTCTCAGAAATACTCAAGAGTAAAAAAATATCAGTCTTAGAGCTGAGGCATGATACTTTGCTGTGCAGCAAAGCTGATCCTGGATGACGTCGTCAAGGGCGTAATCACGATCTCAGAAGTGAGGGGGACAAATTTTTAAGAGGTTTTTTTGAGTGATTTATCATTTTCTCGCACCTTAGTGTCTAAAAACACATAATCGGTAACAACTACAGTACAACACCAGGGGACTGACTTTAGTTCTTTTAAACTGCAGTAATTACCAACAAAATCTAAAATTTTAGCTGCCAAACTCTGGTAGAGTTGACACAATTACCCTCCAACATCTACAGCAGGGCTATTCAACTGAACTGCTCCGGGGGCCACAGGTACAGCAGGTTAACAGCTCAGGGGCCGAACATCCAGCAATTAGTTATTATGTAAATAAATCAAGTATTACAAGATCTGTTACCTTTGAAAGTGTTTATTTTGCTGTATTTAATCATGAATACAACATACAGAACCCTATAGAAGTAGTGATAATTAAACATCAAAAACAAATGTGTCCCGTTTGACATCTCTGACCTGCCAAATTTTAAAAATTTTTATTTTCACTCTCATAGTTTTATCTTCAACTGCTTGTAGTTTTAACTCTCTTAGGTGTGCATAAAAATGTTACCAGCTTCTAGGCAAGTTTCTGACATTTCTGTAGATACCGCATGTCTATGATTAACTAAAACAACTAATAGTAATCATCATCATCATCAACTTTATTTATAAAGCACCTCAACACCAGCCACAACTGAACTAAGTGCTGAACATCAGCAAAATGCAAAAATTAAAAATAAAAAGAAGATAAAAACAGATAAAATCACTAAAATTAAATAAAATCAAGTCTCAATTGGGTTGAAGGCCAGTGAGTAAAAGTGTGTCTTTAGACCGGTCTTAAAAATGGACAATGAGKGGGCCTGTCGGGTGAACAATGGTAGGGCTGCAACTAACGATTATTTTAATAATCGATTAATCTGTCAATTATTTTTTCGATTAATCGATTAATCAGCCAAATCATTAAAACCCTTCATTACATGAATATGGGTAGATATAAATTAAGTTAACTCCTTAAAGATGCAAGTTATTGATAATGAATTAAACTGAAGTTGATTTTTCTTATAGCTTGATTAACAATTAATTAATAAGCAGCCATTTTTTAAAAAAACTGGAGAGTTTTTATACTTTTGGCCCGAGGATGAGGACGAAACAAACGGTGGATTTATGTGCCCCCCTCCCCGCACGCGTTTCCTCCTCGTGACGCCGCTTGTGTCAGACTGTCTTTTAAAAAATTAAACGTGTCAAATACTTTCTATCATAACTTCAGATCTACTTGGCCTAACAACACAATTTAAAATCTGCTTTAAAGTTCAAAGTCTCTACTTTTCACTCGAGAGTCAGAGAGGGTGGATCGTCACAGGTAGGTTTTTTTTTCTTCATTCAGGTCAGTCAGCGTTGACAACGCTCTGCGATGATGNACAAGTTAAAACAAAAATAGTCATCTCTTTCAAGAGCAGTGAAGGGGCCTGTCTGTGTGCGATTTGGAGCTGCTGGAAAAATGGCCTCTAAGGTGGAGCAGTTGGGTGTTGTTAGTGTCATAGTTAGATTAAGTATACAATGAAAACCTAAGACATCTGAAGGGATCAATGGGGCTGGATCAGTAAAGAGGGTGGGTCTAGCTGCCGCACAGGCCACACACTCAGACAAAAGGGCCTGTCGTGCAGCCTCAGTAACCCACTCTAGCCACAAGTTAATCTCCCTGTAACCGGTGGACATAGCAATGACATCTACAGGGGTGAGGCTGGAATAATCAACCGATTTCACACCTGGGCTCATATCGGGCACGGGGAGCAAAGGAGGAACAGTTACTGAGTTGGTTGAGGGGTCCTCTGGCGGGGCATCTACCACAGTGATCTGAATCCACCCATAGTGGCCGTTGCCAAAAACGTCTGCTCCTAGTGTTAACATCAAGTTTTTGTTACGCGGGTTTGCAAGTCCAATACCTCCGTAGAACCCCTTGAAGATAGTTGCAGATTTAATAGACAATGAAATTGGATTCTGTGTTGGGGAATAATTCCTCTGGATGGACATATAGTCTTTCCACCAGGCACGGACTTTCTTATCATGTTGTATAAATATTTCGTCTATAAAGTTATGGGCTTGGTCATAGGGAGTCCAGTCCCCTGTATAGAGAGTTACCTGATTCCAATCACAATTACCATACGTTGCTCCACACTCACGGAGATCATAACTCACACATGGACAAACATATATGTTTACATGCCTATAAGAGGCATTTTTGTTACCACATTGAATGACCGCACAGATCAAAGGTGAATGTAGTACTACTACCCTTGACATAAGTCARCTTCAAAGCCCTGTACCCACTCTTGACTACATATTCTCGCTTACCACGCTCCTCATCGCACTGACTACCACCTGGGAGCACACAGAACCATTCTAGCGCAAAGATAACAGAAATCATCACAGCTAACAGAGAACCTGCTCCCAGGGTCATCTTCATCCACAGTCCAACAATCATTTTCTCTCCTTATATAAAAATCACAAACTATGTCAAAATACCAAATATAGTGAAAACTTATAATGAACAAATTATCAGAATATAAAGTAAACTAAACTAGTTAGCTCTAAACACTACTTTTATAACCCACACAGCAGCGTTCTTCACCAGACCGACTGATTGTCTCCTAAAAAGCAAGCAAAATAATTCAAAATTTCAATGCAAAAACAAGACAGAAAATATTACTTTTAGAATGTGCCACACGTACACAGGGGCATTCCCCTGGCATTGCTTGGGGGTATTGAATCCTCCTAAGCCCNGGGTGAATGACTGTAGTGTAAAGTGCTTTGGGGTCCACATGGGGCTTGATAAAGCACTAAATGAGTTCAGTCCATTTACCATTTAAATTTGAAAACCTGGTCTATGCAGGCCTAAGGATTACTAACCCTGATCCTCATAGGGATCGTTGGGGTCATCAGCGATCAGCTCAGCATTACTGGGGGCCTCGTGGTCCTCTTTGGTCACAAAGATGATGCGATCTTTACCTTTAGATGGGAAAACAAAACAAAACAAGTCAAACAAACATTAYTGTTAAAGGATAAATCCAACCATGAACTGGGTCTGTGCTGACAGTTTCTGTTAATTGATTATTCAAAWTGTGGGTATAAATGCAGTTACACTGGCCCCTAGCGGCCACACTGGGTATATCACTCAGGATTAATGCTAATCGTATGAGTGCTGTCTGTGGGTTGAATGTCAATGTAGAAAAGACAACAACTCACAAAACTATGGAGTATTTTTTAGATTAACTATACAGACAGAGCAGACCAAAYGTCCTTCCTCAAAAGAGTTTTTAAAAACAGAAACACGATTTGTAAAGTTCTCGCTCTTTCTACATTCATGATARCTAATYATGCTAGCTCCGCCGCGGACGGAAAATGACTGAACGAGATTCAAATGACCCTCTTCTTTGCAGTAGGACATATCCGCTGCTGTTTAACCCCGCCGGGCTTTGTCTTTCAGGMTAAAAGATGACCACAGTGAGGAAAACAACTATGCAACAGCTAAGAAACGGAGCTCCATGCTGAAAAGCATTTGTCAAACTCCCCCGGTGTTTTCTTCTTCTTCGTGTGTTTTATTGTCGGTTATCAAACTTGTGGTGTGCATTACCGCCACCTACTAGAATGGAGTGTGGCTCAGAAYGCCTGTATTGACTGCTACTTCAATATTTTATTATTATTTTCTGACTCTTATCTTTTCTACTTGTATTCGTTTAATTCTTTTCCATACTTAATTAATAAAAATACGTTTCTATAATCATTTTCTCTTAATTTGTCTAGTTAATGTTTTCTTGAAGAATCTAATTAAAATGTGAATGCTTTGCTTCCTGAAAATTTCCATAGTATATTAAATGTTTCTTTAATCATTCTGAATTCCTCCATCATGTCTATTCTCTGTTTTTAATATCTTTTAAATATTAGTTTTACAAGTTCTATTGTTTCTGTTATTCCACAATATTGACAGTTTCCAGTTTACACAGTTACTGACTGTACTGATAATAGTGTTGCTAACATTTCTCTGTATACTGACAGTCCGTTTGTGATTCGTTTAGCTTGTTTTATGTGAAATTCTGGTATAATGRTTGTTATTCCTRTTCTTTCTGTCGGCTCTTTTGATGCAGTCTACCCCGATGTCAGACCCGGCTGMAGTTCTCGCGAGAGAACTCCTCTCGCGAGAACTGCAGCTAGGTCTGTCACGTGGTTTGACACGTGTTTTGGACCGTGTCGGCTCTGACGTCATTGACCAATCTATGACGTCACTCGGATTTCAAAGCCTTCATTAGAATAAATTATTCATATTCCAGAAGTTTCTTGCAGTTCTTGCAGTGGGTCTGGAGAAATACTGACTTGATTTTCTGTTTGTTTGTGGTTGCTTTTTGATAGTTTATCATTTATTTTAAGAAGGTTGACTGAAAAAAGCATTCAGAAGTGTTAACAGCTCTTGCARAGGGTCTAGACAAAAACAAACAAGGTTTTAAAATGAATTCATTTGCCAACAACGCTGAGAAMGTTCTCAGATCCTCAACAGATGTGAAAGATTCATTTGAAATCTATGATAACAAGTTTAAAGGCGCCGCTTCTTCATTCTCGATCTACAATCACACAAAACTAGATTTMGAGGAAGGTGATTTAATCAAAGATCAGTTAAATGAGTACCGTGTTGAGAAATTTCTTGGAAGCGGGACATTTGGGACCGTYGTTAAGTGCCTAAATTTAGCATCTTCCCAGCATGTAGCGCTGAAAATCATAAAAGATGAATATTTAGCATATGGAGAGAGAGAGGCTGAAATGCTGCAAATGCTTAGACCCCTCCCCGAGGAAAAAAACATCCAGACGGAATTCACTAATTTTTTGTACAACGACTGGTTTTGTTTACAATTTGATCTGTTAGAGCAGGATTTGTATGATTTCATGGATACAAGACCACCTCTAACAGTGGCTGAAATCAGAACAGTTGCTCAACAGATGCTCACCGCGCTCTCAGCACTAAGAGACATTGGAATTGTACATTTTGACATTAAGCCAAACAACATCATGTTAGTAAATCACCATTTACAGCCCTTCAAAATAAAATTGATAGACTTTGGTATTGCTTCCCAGACTCAAGATCTAGTAGACTTAGAAGAGTATGGAGAAATGCAGGTTCAGAACTTTAGAGCACCAGAGGTTTTCCTGGGCCTAAAGGACCTAAATGAAGCTGTTGACATGTGGGGTCTTGCCTGTGTGTTGGTCCACCTTCTGTTGAAAATGGATTGGTTTCCAAATGCTTGTAATTATGAAACTATGAAAGCTATTGTAAACCGGTATGGTAAGCCTGACCCATCGTTACTACAGAAAGGGTTTTACATTCACCATTATTTCACACTTGACCATGACCAGTCTGAACCTGTTTTGCGGTTCAATACTTATAAGAAGTACAGAAAAGAATCTGGGGACTGTGTGAAGAGCGATAGATCCTGGTACGATCCCGTTGCTAAATTTAAAAAGGTTGCAAGAGCAATAGATGATCCAATTGAACTGGAAGATTTTCAACAGTTTGAAGATCTTCTCAACCTCATGTTTAAGGTGAACCCAGGAGAAAGAATTCTTCCAGATGAAGCTTTGAACCACAGCTTTATCACAATGAACCATCTTGCGAGCTGCAGTAGTGACTCTTATGTACACTCTGCTCGTGGCATAATGGAAAAATGCTTTCTAAGCAACCGACTCAATTGCCCTTCAACTTCTGAAAACAAGATGACCACAAATTCAGGTTCAGGTTTAAGTCAGAACGTCGACATAAAACCATCCGATTCTCTCCAACTGCATGAACAAGTGGAACAAACATCAGACACAAACGTACAGGTAGAAGAGTCATCAGAGAATCTCACAGAGAAACCTGACTCAGATTATGATTCTACTGATGACACACCTCATACACATATATTCCCTGTAGTGATCATTCTTAATAAGAATGGTTCACAAAATTCAAGTTCAAGCGAAATTTCACAAAATTCAAGTTCAAGCAAAATTTCACACAATTCAAGTTCAAGTGAAATTTGGTTTCATGGATCTGACGTTGAGGAGAACACAGTGACACACACAGACATTATTCAGTGTCAACCAGTGAAAAAATGTTTCAGGAGAGTAAGAAAATTATTTGCCCGAATTTTCAATATCCATCACCTTCTGARTTGAGAATAATTAACATGTTCCACTTACCCACAACCCCCCAATCACCCCACCCATCAAATACCCCCATCCATTCTTTGGGTTTTCTCCGGGTACTCCAGTTCGCCCACATAAAAAAAAGAGATCTATGATCTCTGTCTCCTCAGTCCTTCCAGGCCTCCCATTCTCTCTCTCTCTCTCCTCCCCTTGCTCAACCCTTCCACCCCATCCATCTTTGGGTTTTCTCCGGGTACTCCGGTTCGCCCACATAAAAAAAAGAGATCTATGATCTCTGTCTCCTCANTTCGCTGCTCTGTCTGCCTGCCTGTTTCCTTCTGCTGTTTCTGACCCTGTCATGTCATGACCTTTACACTTCACCACTGCCACTTTTTTTGGAAGTAACAAACTCTCTGCCAACTCTTTCATCAATCTCTCGTGTTAAATGGGCTTCTGTCCAGCTGTCAAAAACCCTGCTCTTTTCCACTGAGGTAACTGAACATGAACTGCACCATATGCATAAGCTGAATCTGTGTACAGGGTAACCTCCTTCCCAGCTCCTGCCTTTAATGCTTCTACCACTGCYTGGATTTCTGCCTTTTGAGCTGACTGTTGTCCTTCTAACTGTCCTGATCGCAGAATCTCAAACCTTTGACCTTCCTGTCTCACCACTGCAAATCCTGATTTTAAGTTACCATCATCCATCCTAAAACAACAACCATCTGTGTACAGAACTTCTGAACCTGGTATGTCTTCTGTCTCTAAATCTGGCCTAATTTTTTCTTCCATCTGCACTTTCCTGACACAATCATGTGTCGGTACTGTTGTCATTCTGTCAGCCATGTTTACGCCTTCATGTGAGAATAGTAAATTAGGAGCCCCTAATATTTTACTCATTCTCTGTTGTCTCAGTGATGTCATTGTGAAAATCTGTGAGTTGACATAAGCTACTACATTGTGAGAGGTGAAGATGTTTAAAGGATGACCCATTACAATGTGAGCTGTTTTTTGGATGATTTTAGCTAGTCCTGCTGCATGTTGTGTGCAAATTGGGTGTCTTTTTTCTGTGTTGTCTAGCAATACACTACCATACATCAAAATCTGTCTTTCACCCTCCTTTTTCTGAAACAAAATGCCATTTACAGCCCCATTTGTTTCAGAAACATCAAGATTAAAAGGTAAAGAGTAGTCTGGCAAAGCCAAATCTGTGGCTCTCGCCAAAAGCTGTTTTAAATGGATGAAGGCCTCTTCAGCCTGCTGTGTCCACTGCAGACGAGCTTTTAGGTTACGCATGCTCTGCTGTTTAACCAGGTCTCTAAGAACGCTAGTTAGGCTTGTATAATCTGGAACATACTGCCTACTGTACCCTGTAAGGCCCAGAAATGAGAGCATGTCCTGTACTGTCTGTGGTTTTGAGTGATTAAGGATGGAGGCCCTATGTTCAGGGGAAAGAGAAGTACCTGAAGCTGATACCAGGTGCCCTAGAAATGACACCTGGGAACGAACTGCCTGAAGTTTGGACTTACTCACTTTAAAACCTGCATTGTGAAGAAACTGTAAAACCGTCTGGGTAGCCTGTAAACAATCAGCTGAGGTCTCAGAGGCGATCAAAAGGTCATCTACATATTGGAGGAGGGTGGTGCCAGGTGGGAGGGGACAATTAACCAGGTGATCTTTCAGTACCTGGTTAAAAATGCCAGGGGACAAGGCAAACCCTTGTGGGAGTCTAGTGTAACGGTACTGTTGGCCATGAAAAGTAAAGGAAAACACATCTCTAACATGTTCTGCTAGAGGGAGACAGAAAAAGGCATTAGCYAAATCAATACAGGTAAACCACTTGTGTTTGGGGCTGAGATTAGTGAGGGCCACATAAGGGTTAGGGACAGGACAAGTGGGTGTCTGCAAAATAGAATTAACTGCTCTAAGGTCATGAACCATCCTATATTTACCTGTACCTGGTTTTTCTACAGGGAGGATGGGGGTGTTCCACTGAGAGCTAGATGGCTCTAGTACACCAGCAGTCAGGATCTCCTGAACTGTGTTTTGCAAACCGAGAGCCTGTGTGTGCCTGGGGTGTAGTTGAAAAGAGATAGGGGAACAAGTGCTAAGTCCTACGTCCTCGGGTCCCTTAGACCAGAGGGAGTCAGGAAGAGATGACAACATTTTAGGAACATCAGGGTGATCAGATTTTTCCCTACCATGGTCTCTARASARCAGTTCATGAGTCAGGGTGCCCTGGTCAGAGGTAGTAACATCAATTGAGTAGCAGTCAGTAGAGGGTGAAAATGAGACAGAAGGGAGCTGAGTGGGAACCCAGTCAGTGGCAGTTAAAGCTGTTTTTACCATGGGGCTTAAGTCCTTAGCCTGGTGTTTGGGAGAAAGAGCAAGTGAGACATGTGGTACAGCCTCGGCCGCCATCCTATACCACT